GTGCTTGTGTGCCTGTAGGGATGCTGGCGGGGCTGGATCGCTGCTGGGACGGGCTGGGGCCGGGGAGCTGCTGCCTGGGAGCCGTGGGGAAGGGGAGGGGGACGGGGCAACTGCCATGGCTTCTGCTCTTGTTGTTGTTTCTAACAGTTCCTGGGTGGTGACAGGTTGGGAGGCTGTGTGGAAATCCTTCCTGAAGGTAACGTGTGTTGTTTGGTTTTTTTTTCCCCCCCCCCTTTCTCTTTCCTCCTCTCTCTTTCCTCTCCCCATCCCACTGTCCCCGCTGAAGCCCAGCTCTGGGTCTCTCTTTTCCTTTCCTCCCACTCATGTCGCTGCAAAAAAAAAAAAAGAAAGGAGTAATAAATTGTCAGTGGCGCAGCTGAGCTCCCCGAGCTGCCCTGCCATGGCAATCGAGGAGTGCGGGGATGCACAACCCAGCCCCTTGCCACATAACCTTGGGAAAGGAGAAACAGCACAACCCCTGGATGCACATCCACCATTGTCTGGGCTGCTTCTCCTGCTTCTAAGACTTTCTTTCTCTCTAAGCTACTCCCCCCTCCCCTAAACAACAACAACAACAACCAAAAAAAAAATGAGGCAAATCACATTTTTGGAAGGTCTCTCTGCTTCTCCAGCAGAAAGCAGATCAGCCAGCTGGTAAGGTTTTTTTCCTCCTCGCTGTAATTGAGTCCTGCAGAACCGCTGACACGCTAAACAAGGGATCTGTACACTCAGAAAAGCAAATGCCAGCTCAAGATGAAGCTCAAAGCCTGTGGCACTGGAATAAATTAGATATATGAATGGCATTTGGGTGGGGGGGAGGGAAAAAGAACCCTGAAACTATGAGGCATCAATGAGACATTTGTCTTCTTTTTTTTTTGGGTGGGGGGTCGGGGTTGGGGGAGAGGATCAAAGGGGGATGGGAAGGGAATCATGTGCAGTCTTGTGAATAAAAAGTACCTCGGAGCTAGGGAAATGGTGCGAAGGAGGGAATTTTAGACGGGATCAATAAAGGGATAAACAGAGCACCCTTCCTTTTCCTCCAGCAGAGAGAGACCGAGAGGGAGACGCTGGTTTATCAGCAACGTGCTTTTACCCCCCCACCTCCCCTCCCTCCCCTTCCCCTCTTCCCCTTTTCTCTTTCTCCTTCTCTCCGAGCTGAAAACTGATTACAGGTTGCTTATCGACTCCGGCACAATTTCACCCCTTTCCAGCATAGATCTTGGAGGGTTTTATATCGCATCAATTATTGATCATATTTTATAAATCCAGCAGCACTCCAGTTTTTTTTTTGGCCCCCGAGGAGGGCTCGGGAGGCGATTGGCGCCGCCGGAGCCACGTGCCCCCGCGTCACATGGGCCGGGAGGAAAAAAAGGGCTCTTTTTTGGTGTAAATCTGGACTCTTAATTCCGTAATATATCACGGTACCTCGTAAAACCGACACTAAAACGTCCCGACCTACAAATCACCCGGCCAAATTATGAGTTCATTGTATTATGCGAATGCTTTATTTTCTAAATATCAAGCCGCCGGTTCGGTTTTCCCAGCCGGAGTCTTTCCCGAGCAAACTTCTTGCGCTTTCGCCTCCAACACCCAGCGAGCGGGGTATGGGGCCGGATCCACTCCTCCCTTCGCCGCCTCCATGCCCCGGCTCTACTCCAGTGGCAGCACCGTGCACCCCCAACCCCCCAGCATGTATTCCTCCGGTTACGGCCTGGAGCCCGGCTCCTTCAACATGCACTGTTCCCCTTTTGAGCAAAACCTCTCCATGATGTGCCCGGGAGATGCTTCCAAGCAAAATTGCAGCAAAACGGACCAGAGGGACTCAGATTTGCAAAGCGACAGTAACTTCCGTATCTACCCTTGGATGAGGAGCACAGGTAAGCCCCAGCCTCCCTAAAGAAAGGAGCCTGGGCTGGGTTGGGTTGGGGGAGTGGGGAGTGGGGGGAGTGTAAATTATTTGATGGCGTGCGCGGGGGGCGGCG